TGCGAAGACGACCAGAAGGGGGATGATGATTTTATGGAAAAAAATGCAGACGTGTTCGCTGAATTAATACAATTCCTGGATGACCGGAGTTTGTCTTTAATAATGAGAGAGGCCAAGGACAATGGATGGCGAGCCCTACAAATTTTGCGTGAACACTACTTGTCAAAAGGTAAGCCTAAAATTATTGCTTTATATACTGAACTAACCGCGTTAAAGAGACGAGAAAATGAATCTGTAACAGATTATATTATACGAGCTGAGAATGTCACAAATGAATTGAATATAACTATCACGTCTGACTCTGTCGAGTTAAGTGTTGCGTCTTTTCAGATCCCACATCACGATAAAAAGGCACAGAGAATCTACGTTACGGCGGTGGGAAGAGACTGAAGCCGAGATGCCAGGTCAGGACAAATAATATTGCTGATTCTTCTTTGAATTTTATGCTTAGACTTGGTATTGTGTTCGATGTTACTTATAACCAGTGTAGTATTGTTTGTGCACTGGATGGCTTGCGGCCGGGATGCTTTTGTTCATTACCGTGAGATGTTAAAATGTTTTAACCTTTATGTTCTTCGTTTGGTTTCTTTTACGGTTTACCAACCTCAGTGGGTTACTTAAGATTTTTTATTGCTGGTAATATTTTTTTCCTAAAATGTATTGCTGGTAATATCTTTTCCTCAAAAACGTAACGTCCTAGGCATGACGATAAACTGTATCCGGCAGCAAGGGTTCTGATCGGGAGGTTTTCAGGAGCGTGGAAACACTATTGTCCACCCTGATGTGGTGTGGTAGCACTCGCTAGGGCCCCAGCGAAAATAACTGGGTTTAGACACTATGGCACTCTGGGTCGAAACATTATGAAAGTGTAAAAATAGATTTTAACAGCAGAAATATATATATATATATATATATATATATATATATATATATATATATATATATATATATATACCAGCGATACATTTTTAAAATATTACCAGTTATACATTGTTTGAAAAAATATTACCAGAAATAGATTTTGAAAAAAATATTACCAACAATGAAAATTTTGTCAGCATTAAGTGACCCATTGAAGATGATATGCCGTAAAACAAACCAAACCAAACCAAACAAACTAAACCAATCTTCAAAATTGTATTGCTGGTAATAATTTTGTTCAAAAAATTTATTGCTGATATTAAAACATATTTTTACACTTTCATAGTGTTTTAACCCCAGTTTGTTGGTTAACTATTTGCCCATAACTGGGACCCTAACAGGTGTTACCACGCCGGTCAGGGTGGACTTGGGAACACCAGCAATTAAGAGGTGGTTCCACGTTCCTCAAAGCCTCCTGATCAGAGGCCCTGCTGTTGAACGTAGTTTATCGTCTTACCCAGGATGCGGATGTAGTTTATCGTCGTACCCAGGACGCAGATGAAGTTTATCGTCTTACCCAGGACGCAGATGTAGTTTATCAGTATCTGCCTATATTTCTGAGTTGAGGTATTATGTACACTATTTACATTATTCGGACTATTGTCCTCATCTTTGTCGCCATATTTATTACAACGTTTCGGCCGTTGTACGTTCCGGCCTTCTTCAGGACGCGTTATGTTCTTAAATAGCCTCGTCAGATCTACACTTCTATAAAACCTAAAGAATGTTCTATATAGGGAAAAGAAGATTGAACACAGGAGAAGTTGCGCTGCAAAAAACTGCAAAAACTACCTAATGTAACTAGAGTTATTTTCTTAAATAATCTCATCCAATCGTAACACTCATATAGTTATCACGCATGTCGCTCAAATCATTTAGAAATGTCAAATCTCTCAGCTATATACCAGTTCAATGACTAAAAATGACTTCAAGTAAATGAACCCCATATAGATATCTACTTCGATTGACTGATTTTCTTTACAAACTTATTTTTACGGTTTATCAAGCTTTTGTTGGTTATTTAACGCCGAATCTTCTTTTTTCTTTGCAAGGGAATATTGAATTAATATTTTCTGGTGATAACAATGATTTTTCCAGATTCTACTGTTTAACCCATAGGTGTGGGAGTGAGAAACGATAGATTGATACCTTTTCCAAGAGTTTCTGCGCGAAAGTGAATCTAAGGAACACAACTGGAATTCGAACTCGGCGCCACGATTTCTCATTTCCAGCTGCTATACATTACACCAACCGCACATCCAATTCTCCTTCGAACGTCACGTGCTGGCGCTGCACGATCGCAAAGAACAGTGCCAAACAATAGAAACCACATCAACTGAGGAGCTAAAACAGCAGCAACAACTAAAAGGGATAGCATACGTAACTCAAAGAGAAAATAATGACATAATCATAAGACGTTGACCTTCCGCACTCCGTTGAACAAAAGGCTAGGAAGGAAACCTCCCTCAATACTGGAAATAATGATAACAGCTATGATTGTTCAATCAATGAATGTGTCCTTATAAGGAAAGGATTATTATTACAGTTATTAGTGATGAGAAAGAACAGATACTACACTTTGATCCTAACCCGATGGCCGGGAGAGGGAAGATATTCACTAACCGCCCCACCTGGTCGGAAGTGACACAAGGCCGGGTTTATTGTGGGGTATCCGAGCCCGTAGGCTCGGCAAAAATTCCCCGTACACCCCGTAAAAAACGGGGTCGAGTAGCTGTCTACCATCCCAGACGAGACTGCCCTTCGGCATAGCCTCGTCTGGGTTCCTCTCTGCCCAGAAGCAGAAAGTTTGACAAGCACACTGTGGAAGACAACAGTGACCGGGGGAGGGAATGAAAGTCAAGTAGCACTGGTTGCTTGATCAATAAATGTCGAATATTTCCTTATAAGGAAACGGTAAATATTACGATGGCCATTAGAGATGAAGAGAACATATACCACACTTAGTATTTACTTTTTCTTTTTTTTTTTATTTATTTCCGCCGCCACGCTGGGAGCCTGTGACACAAGTTCAGTATGGAGTCTGAGCGCGTGAACTCGAGCCAGATCTCCAAATAGTCCAGGCCTCGCAACCGTCGACTGAGCTGACATTGGTATTAATAACAAATCAAAACTCTTTAGTGTCATGAGGGAAGTATTATCGCGAGCAGCTGTTCCTCGGAACCAAGCCTAATTTTTTATTAGTTCCGCTCTGTCCGAAGACAGAAGCACAAATGAAAGATAAAATACAGTTTATCCGTCCGAGGACAGATACTACACTTTGATCCCAGCTCAATGACTAGGGAGTAAAGTAAAGCGTCAATCGACTAGCAGTGGCTGTTCGGCCGATAAATGCGAAATGTTTCCTTATAAGAAAACGGCTTATATGACAGCTACCAACAGGGATAAGGAGGGCATATACAACACTTTGATCCCAACCCTATGGCCAGGGAGTAAAGAAAAGTGTAACTCGAGTAGCAGTAACAGTTCGGCCGATAAATGCCAAATTTTTCCTTACAAGGAAAACGGCTAATATTGGCAGCTACGATTAGAAATGAGGAGAACAGATACTACACTTTAATCCTAGCCTGATAGCCAGGTCGTAAAGAAAAGCGTAACTCAAGTAGTAATGGCTATAATATTTATTTGTATAATATATAAAAAAGTGAGGCACAAGGCCAAAATGGAGAATGGGGAAAAGGAGGGTCTTCTTCCGTCTCAATATTAAATTTAGCTAGCCACAATCACTGACCCAAACTAACCATAATAATTCTCACACCAAAACAACGTATTCTTACTTACCATTCTTACAACATACACCATAATATATCAATGACTCTATGAAGTCCTAACTAGTGTAGTATTCTTGTCTCATTAGCAATGATTATTCAGTCAATGAATGTCGAATGTTTCCTTATAAGGAAACGGCTATTACTGTTACCACTTTTCATACCAAAATTAAGTATACAATGAAGCACCATTGAATTGAGACGTCATTTAAACCAGTTCCATTTTAGGGCCTCAAAATCTGCAGGGACCCAAGAAATATATATTTGTTTTGTTTTTGGTAGGATTTTAAAATTCTGGTGTATTGTTTTGAAAACAAGGAGCCCTCAAGCTTCATGTAGCCGGCCACGTGCCTTGTGAGGATATTGGGCCTCAAACTTTTCTGTCTGACTCCAAACGGCTGTTTAGTCAATGAATGTCGGATATTTCCATATAAGGAAACGGCTAATATTACCATTTTTTCATGCAAAAATTCTGTATACAATAAAGCACCATTGAATTGGGACGTCATTTAAACAAGTTCCATTTTTCAAAATCTGTAGGAACCCAATAAATATTTATGTGTTTTGTTTTTGATAGGCTTTTAAAATTAAGGTGTATTGTTTTGAAAACAAGGAGTCCTCAAGCTTCATGTAGCCGACCCCAATGAACGCATGCCCCTCCCCTCTCAAAGAGGCCCTGTGCCTTGAGAGGATATTGGGCCTCAAACTCACACCTGACATCAAGTGGAATTTCTATATACGATACATAGCTAATGATGCAGGCAAAATGATCGGCTCCTTGTACCGCTCAAGTAAGTGCCTGACTCCTCATGGCTCTACATTTATAAGGGTCAGATCAGACCGAAAATGAAGCACTGTTGCCATATTTGGGCGGTAGATGGGCAGTTCTCACTTTCCAGGGCAGATAGAGTTCAAAACGTCTCTGAGTCCTCGTTGGAGAAGAATTATTTTCCATTATCCAACCTCTGTCTCTCTCACAGGCGGGATATGGCCAGTGCCTAACTGCACTGTCGCTACTACCAGAGAAAGAGCTTGGACGAACTACATTCCTTGGTTTCGTCAGGGCTGACCTTCACGGCTAGCACCAACCATACCATTTACATTGTAGCAAACCACCCACACCCCCCCCGTATTCCATCGAAATACAGAAAGAATGGTACAATAGGAAGAGAGAAAAATGAAAGAAGGTATGACAAAGAAAGAAAAGGGAAGTTACGAAAGAAGGAAAGACAAAAAAGGAAGGAAGGAAGGAATTGTATAAAAGGAAGAGAGAAAAATGAAAAGAAGAAAGAA